TCCCAAAACCCCAAAACCCCAAAACCCCAAAACCCCACTGGAATAATATAAATTGACAATATTGCGATATAATATTAAAACATGCATACCAACCAAAAGAGCCAATTCATCACTTATTTTGAAGACTCCTTACCTTCTCTAGAATCATCATCTTCTGGATTAGGATCCGAAAGCTCTAAGAGTTCATACAAGAAGGCGAATAACTTCTGCTTACCTTCTTTCTCTCCCTCAGCACCTACTGTGCCAAAGAATCGATCAAAGAAAGCCCCTGGGAGACCTTCTCCGTTCACTAAAGCTCAAAGTGAGGACTGAAAGACACCTTCGCACCTAAAACTCACTATCAACACCAAAAGTGCTAAAAATTCCTGCAAATCTCAACTGTGAGCTGAGGAGTACCTTTACATCCTCCCGCAAAAATCCATTCACTCTCTTGAGAACAAATTAAATGACTTCCTCACTTGTGAAGGAGTCAAGCAAATTCATTTACAAGCAGCCTTCGAGCAAGCCCGAGGGTTCTAAGATTAATCTATCCATAATACTAATGCTTGAAGCTGCCGTCAGCAATCAGTGTATCCATATACTCCCTCGTCACATGATTCAAAGGATACGAGGACTCAAGACCTAATAGTATCTTTGAGTTAAAAATATTGTGCAGGCTTCTAATTACACTAACCTTAATAATACATTACTAAATGATTTAACCTAAGCTTTTGCTTGTAATTATACAAATTTTAAGTTGAACCTATTGATTATTTCTACGCCTTGCTCACAATTAACTATACCAAATACTTTACCTGAAATTACTGGCACTGATATCTAGGCAGGTATTAGTATCTAGAGCCCATGATACAGCCAGGATGTATCATCAGATCTAACTACCAAATACCTTCCTTTATGAGCAGAAGTTTTGTGAAGGTATTTAGCATAATTAATTATGAATCACAGGTCGTTTTAATAAAATATTAAGTTTAAAATCTTCTAGATATAGCTGTATTGTAAATCACTGAATTAGATAATATAGGGGGCATAATATTTGAGGTCAATTAGGCCATATTGCATGCGTTATTGGGACAGAGATTTTCATTGGGTATCTGAAGAGACTTAAGCTTATTTGTTCGGAGAAATTAGGAAGGGCAGGCTGTGGTCGGGAAGGAAGGGGGTAGGTGAGGTTTGGGTATAGAGGGTTTGTATTGAGTATTTTGTTTTGGAGAAATTTTTGATGCTGGTGATTTGGCAATTAAATTTTGAGATTTTTTAATTGTTATTAGTTTAATTCAGTTTTAGAGATGAGGTCATGGAATCTAGATTTGATTATATGGAATATTTTTATTTGCTGGATTGTTCTGAGATTCAGAGCTCAATACCTGATAGAGAGACCTTGATATGTGTAAATACACAAAAATGCAGTCACTGGTTCCTCATTATCAGAATCAACACCGAATTTTTGGGAGTAATTGATATTTCTTAGTTAATAAACTCCACATAATTTCTTTGAATTCTGATAATGGCGATTTTTAAGCTTATTTTATTCCAAAGAGGAGCATAAAGATATCTAAAATATATGTATGATTCTCAAGCTAGATTCTAAATTAGCATAATTCTGAAATTTGATGAGCTTCTAAACTCCTGTGACATCCTATAAAGTCTGGTTTAAATTCTCTCCTCCATTTTTGTGTACGACATAATTTGTAACAGCTTATGTTGACGAGATCCATCTGGGAGGGCCAAGATATCGCTTCAACTTAATTTACAAGAATTATTATAGTTCTAAAAAATTATGAAGACTATAACATTTTTGTGCCTTAGATTGAGTTTTTATGAAGAAAATTTTAACATGTCAGCAGTCAAGTTTTAATGAAGAGAGCTCAATAAGAAGCTGGTACAACTCTTAGTCGCAGTACTACATTATTCTTGAAGCTTACTATAATTCTGATTAAGTTAAGCGTAAGTAAGTTCGAGCAGAGGCTGAGAATAATAAGGTTTATTGGGAAGCTACTCTATTCAGTATCCCGCATCCAAAATTTTGTACAGAGTCTATTCCTTTTTGTATCTAAAAATTTCTTCTTTATTTCTGGCTCTTAGATCTTTCCAGATGAGTGAATTCTCAAAACCACACTGAGTGGTATGCTTACTAGAACTTCAATTTTTCAATAATTTAGCTCCTTTAAGGGGTTTTGGGGTTTTGGGGTTTTGGGGTTTTGGGGTTTTGGGG